ATGAATGGATAGAGAAGCTGTGGTATATTCACACAATGGAATACTATGCTGCATTGAAAAACAAGAAACTCATGCAATAATATTCAAAATGTGTGACCACAGAGGACATTATACTGAGTGAAGTATCTCAGTCACAAAAGGACAAATACTGCACAGTGCCACTGTTATAAAACAGGACTGACCTTGGGGTTGGGGAGAGACTGAGAAAGATGGGTTCAATAATGTATACTGCACTGAAATAGATGAGGGAGAAAACTGTTTAAAAGGGATATGCGATTAGGTTTTTTGTCATGAGAGGAGTCTAGAGTGAAGGCTACATGGTGGAGTGGACCTGGGGGATGGTTTGTAAAACAATGAAAGGCATTTTCTTTTACTTTACCAAGAAGGTAGTGTACTAGGGGGGAGGGTTGGGAGGGGAGAAAAGTACAAGAATGAATGAATGGAAATCCAAAGCCTCCGTAAATTTTTACTGAAATTAATAACAAATTTAAATGAAAAAAAAATTTTTTTAAAAGTCACCAAGCAACAAATGCTGGCAAGGCTGTGGAGAAACTGGAACCCTGATTCACTGCTGGTGGAAGAGTAAAATGGTGCAACCACTGTGGAAAGCAGTATGGCGCTTTCTCAAAAAGTTGCAAATAGAGATACTATTTGACCCAGCAATTCCATTACTGGGAATATACCCCAAAGAGACCATAACTGTCACCCAAACAGATATATGCACACCCATGTTTATCGCAGCTTTGTTCACAATAGCAAAGAGTTGGAAACAACCTAAGTGCCTATCAACAATGAATGGATTGAGAAGCTATGGTATATTCACACAATGGAATACAATGCTGCATTGAAAAACAAGAAACTCATGCAATAGTATTCAAAATGTCCTGGAGGACATTATGCTAAGTGAAGTATCTCAGTCACAAAAAGACAAATACTGCATGGTACCACTGTTGTAAAACAGAACTGACATTAGGGTTGGGGGAACAGTGAGAAAGATGGGATAAACAATGTATACTGCATCAAAACAGATGAGGGATAAAGCTGTTTAAAAGGAATATGTGATTCACTATTTTTGTCATGACAGGAGTCCAGGGCGAAGGCTGCATGATGGCGTGAACCTGGCGGGAGGGATTGTGGAACAGTGAAAGAATTTTTCTTTTGCTTTTTAAGGAGGGGAGTGTACTGGGTGGGGAGAAGGGTGGGCGGAGAGAAAAGTGCAACAATGAATGCATGGAAATCCAAAGTCTGTAAATTTTCACTGAAATTAATGATAATTTTTTTAAAAGGAACATATAAGGAAGGATATTACTTTTTACGATTTCAGCCAGACCTGAGTTCAGAAAAAAACACCTTTTTCTTGCTTAGTGACTCATGGGGAAATGTACCTGACGTTATAGTCTTAAAAATAATAAATACAATATTTGATATAAGCAAACATACCTTTCCCATCTGATCCTTTTTGCCAAAGCCAGTGGCAGCTGCGATATTCCCTGCTCCTTCCACCGTTTTCTGTGCAACTGCTGTCACACCTGTCACCACTGCCTCACCAACATTTGTCACCTGCTCTTTGGTCTTCTCTGCCACTGAGGTAAATCAAGAGCAACAACACATATTAATGAATGGTAAAAAGATAACTCAAAAGAATTTCCTTTCCACTAGAGTCAGCTTTTAAAAACTTACTGTTTATACACATCATAGACAAGGAAAAGTCAGGAGAAAGAAAGCCTACACGCTTCTAAACAAAAATGTGGTTCAGCCAAATAATGAATCTTTGTCACGCATGATACCTTAGAGTAAACATTCAGATATTAAAAGGAGTTGGAGATTAGAAATTCCATTTTCATGAACTTAGAGCCATAAGAGATTTAGAGGGAGTTTATAGTTTATTAGACAAATTTAAAGAGCAATGCTTACATTCCAGGTACAGTTAATTACATAAGACCCACTTTTTAAAAATGTATTTCAGTTTTAATATTGATTCTTTGGGCTCTTACATCACGATTTTTGTCAACTTCTCTTAAGAACACTACACATATTACTTATTTATTCATGATACTGGTTCAGAAATAAACAATAGTATGTGGGAAGAATTTTGATATTTTTATAAAACTTCAAGTAGCTGGAGCAGTTTATTTTTTTTTTTTTTATTTCAATGGGGACAAAAAAGTGAGGCTCTTTTGTATAGTATAAAGTTTTGTGTAGTATAAAGTATAAAAAAGAAGAGACTTGCAGAACACAGTAATAATTTGTTTTCTTAAACAAAAATGACATGATTTAGTAAGTTTAAAATATAATTTAAAAATGTAGAGGCCCCATCAACAAACGAATGGCTAGAGAAGCTGTGGTATATTCGCACAATGGAATACTATGCTGCATTAAAAAACAAGGAACTCATGCAATATTATTCAAAATGGTTGACTCTGGAGAACATTATGCTGAGTGAAATATCCCAGTCACAATAGGACAAATATTACATGATGCCACTGTTGTAGAATGGGACTGTCCTTGGGGTTGGGGAGAGACTGAGTAAGATGGGTTCAATAATGTATACTGCACTGAAACAGAGGAGGGAGAAAACTGTTTAAAAGAGATATATAACTAGGTATTTCTGTCATCACAGGAGACTAGAGTGAGGGCTACATGGTGGAGGGGACCTGGGGGGAGGGTTTGTAAAACAATGAAAGAATCTTTTCTTTTACTTTTCCATAATTTTTGGACTCATGTACTTATAACTTTTTAGTCAAATTTGTGTCTTCTAGGTTGCAACACCCCCATGATACATCTTCAAGGATATGAACATGTACGGCCAAGCACAATCAATAAGAGTGCATCTAAATTCCAAAATCAATCTCCATAATAGTCTATGTGTTTCCTACTGCCAAAGGGGCCCTTTAGAGTAGTGAGAGAAGATCTTCACCCTGAAACCCACAGCGTCCCTTTTCAGCAGGAAGTAGCTAAGAGAATACGCCATCCCCTTTTTCTTATGACTCAGGGTGAAGTCTCTCTCAGGGAGGAGTGATAGGGAATGGCAAAGGACACACTGACAACGAAGATTAATAAGAACTGGCTTTGACAAGCACTGTGGCATTTGGACAAGAACAAACTGGGAGGAGGGTAGAGAGAATGGTGCAACAATGAATGAATGGAAACCCAAAATCTCTGTAAATGTTTATGAAAATTAATAAAATATAATCATAGAAAAAAAATTTAGAGGCAATGCTGCAGATAGTGTAGGACTTGATTTATAAGCATCAAATTTTAACTGACATCAAAAACTATCCAACATATCCTTAAAACTATATCTGAAATAGTTATTGAATTAATCTTCTGTTTTGTTCTCATAAATTTGCTATGTAAAGGAATCTATGAGAAAGTGGCTTTCTGTCAATTAAAGAAGTAAGGTAAGAACTGACCATAGCTGACCCTATGATGCGTTCCCAAGGCTGTATGTTGTCTGAAAGGAGACTGCTTATCTTTTTCCCCCTGGAGCCACGAGTGGATTCAAACTGTCTGTGGGTTAGGAGTAAAACCCCCTCTGAAACACAGATGATAGACTGACATACCTCTGGTACTCTCTGCTCTCAGCTAAGATCCATCTAACACTGGCTCTAATATCCTTAGAGCATTGGCCTCTTATAAACCCAGCCTGCATATCCGGTAGTTCTCTGTTGATGTGCTGTTCTAGTTGGTTTTGGATCATTTTCAACAGGGTCTTACTTGCATGTGATATTAATAAAATTTACACACTCTGTCAGGTCACCTTTTTTTGGAATGGGAATAAATATGGATCTCTTTCAGTCAGTTGGCCAGGTGATGGTCCTCCAGGCTTCTTGGCACAACTGATAAGCTTCTGCAGGGGACCCTTTGTTTGTTAAAATATATCAACTGGTATGCCATCAACTACTGGGGCCTTGGTTTTTGCTGTAAATCCTTTCTAGAGACAGAAAAGTGTCTGAAGAGGCACTTGAATTGTTTATGACCTGGTCACTACATTTTTATTGTTTGGGTTCACTCTAGTAATTGGATTAGGGCTCAAAGAGACTGCAGGTCTCAAACTGGAGAATATTTATCTACATACAACTTTGATATGATTACTTTCTTCAGTCCGATTTTCAAAATTCCTATTAGTTTTCTCATGTTTAGAACCCTAATACTTTTAAAGTTTCATGATGTATTAAAATTTATATTTGTGTATAAGGTTTTTCAGCTTTTATCTTTCAAAATAAACTAGTAACAGCATGATAAAGCAAAGTTGGTGCAATAAATACACTTTAAAGTATTTCTATAGTACTGATTTACATAGCACATAATCCCCTGTTTTTATAAATCTACTTTTTCCTATATTCCCCTAGCAGATCCTTTAAACCATTTCTAGGTATATAGATATTCTAAACAAAAAGGAAATGAAACAGTAGCAATGGAGATATATATACTCAAGTTACTATACAATTTTACAAATGATACTTATATCGAAGGAAAAGGATCTTGTAACCAGATTTTAAAAAAAGGATATTTCTCCCTCACCCAATTGATACTACAGTATTTTGAACTCATTTATGTTTTCCTCAAATGTGCCAGCCTTTCCCATCTTGGTGCTCACAGCTCTATCTGGCCAGAAGCCATCATCCCTCCCCCGTGTACTCAGACAATGCTAGTCCTTTGTTAAAACTCAGTCCAAATGTCATATTCTATGGTAAAAAATATCTTTCCCAACAAGTGCCTTTACCCTTCCTCTTGTAACAAAATAAAATTTAGAAATATCTCTACCTTTGTACTGATTCACTTTTCTAGTGGCCTAGTCCACAGTGTGTGAGTGTGTGTGTTATGTGTATGTATATGTACACGGCTAGCATAAAGAATACACTTCTCTGGTGGTTCAGATATGATTAGTATTCATATACTAGGCCTCTGCTAGTATGGTGGTATCTTTCTAGTGGTTCAAATCCACTAATGGCTCAGTAAGAGAAAGACGGATCAACTCCTTTGTGATTTACAGTTTTGGGAATACACAGTAGAGGCTCACGTATGTGTTAGGTCTGACTCAACAGCAATGAGACTGAACTTATCACTAGTTCCACAACCATTCACTTATTGGTATATGCCTATTTACCTATAAAATTCTATTTGGAATTCTTGTTGTTTTTGTTTTTTTTAAATCAAGAATCCAGTTTTATTTATCTTTATACTACTTCTACACAAAATAATCAATAAATAATATCAAATAAACTAAAATAAATGTTTGTATGTCCATAATTTATATACTCCCTTCAATAATTAAATTATAATAGACTGCACATATTCCAAAATTAGGAAGTACAGCATAAATTTTTAGAATAAACAAGATAACTCAAACATTGACATTCAATGTAGTTATACTTAAAGAAAATGTATCTTGTGGAGCAGCTTCTGCTTTTTCTCTAACTTTCCACCTTTCCAAGCATGATGATCTTTTTCTAAGGGAAGATTCATTCATTCATTCATTCATTCATTCATTCATTCATTCATTCATTCATTTCTTCCAAAGCATAATGGTGGAACAAGGCAAACATTTCCATTACAAATGGGAGAAATTGGAGAGAAAATAAGAATAGCAAGTTCCACACAAGTAAAATATCCAACAGAACAATTTACATTAGCTGTTGAATTGGAGAAATCTGCGTTCAAGTCTCTCTCTAGGACGCTTGGAACAATTACATCACTTTAGAGACTAAGGTGTGGCTGATCCAAACCATAGTCTTTTCAATTATTTCTTGTGCATCTGAAAGTTGGACAATAGGTAAGGATGAAAGAAGGAGAATTTATGTCTTTAAATTGTGGTGTTGAATATTCCACAGACTGTTGAAAGAACAAACAAATAGGTCTTGGAGCAAGTGCTCCTTAAAGGAGGAAGGATGTTGAAATTTCATCTCACAAACCTGGACATGTTGCTCGGTGGAGTCAGTCCTTGGAAAAAGATATCATGCTTGGAAAGGTGGAGGGTCAGTCAAAGAGAGAAAGACCACAACATGATGGATTGACACAGTGACGATAACAATAGGCTAGAGTATATCAGAGATTATGAGGGTGGCACTGAATAGGGCAAGGTTCAAATCTATAGGGCTGTTACGAGTTGTAGCTGACTCCACTGCACCTAATAACGAAACCACTGTGACAATGACTCTTCCTTCAAACTCCTGACTGGAGGCCACTCAGGCTTCAGTCCCGCCTTCTAGGCACACTAGGATAACAGCTTCACTCCTTTGGTTTTAGGCAGTTCCATTCTCCTAATCCAACTAAGTGCTAACCACATCATCTTGGCTCTGGAAGAACTCATTCTTCTACACCTTGAGCACGGCACCTTAACTCTATTACCATGCCAATTTAGAATTCCAGAATCAATTTGGTGAAGAGAAAATAAGACTCTTTAAAACTTAGGGGACTGTATCCTCACCTTTTGAGATCAAGTAACCTATGACTCTACCATTGAGACTCCAAGGGTCCTGACTATACCTTTTGAAACTAAGGAAGTTCTATTTTTTTTTTTTTTTGCTCCTTCTCTGTTCAGCTTCTGTTTTCTGGTTCCTTGGCTTCTTAGCACCTTGGA